GGTTTTCTGGGGTTTGGCACACAACTCTTCATTCACCTGATTCACATGCTCCATATTTTTAAAGACATTTCATTGTAGCCCTTCTTGGTGCTAGTCCTTCTGCTGGAGAAATCCTGATTCTTTTAAACTCCCTCTGTTCATTGAAGCTGCCCTTCTCTGGACCTTTCTCAGCTCTGCTTTGACTTCCTTAAGCTACAGTGACCAGAACTGATCTACCCAGGTTACACACAAGCATAAATGACAACCAAAAATCAGAATTTCAATGAAGGGATTTTCAGAAGCAAACATAAAATTGGAAGTTAGCCTGAAGAGAGCACATAGAGATACAATCAGAGTGTTAAAAATAAAGTTATATTTGAAAAGATGAAATTCAACCTCCTTGTTACTTGTTGACAGTTAATTGTTAATCAGTTGACAGGGCTTCCTCAGTGGTAAAGTATCCACTCGCCAAAGCAGGAGTTGTGGGATCAATCCCTGGGAAGGGAAGATCCCCTGAAGAAGGGAATGGCTACCCACTCCAGTATTCTTGCCTGGAGAATCCCATGGACAGAGGGGCCTGGAGGGCTACAGTCCATGGGGTCTCGAAAGAGTCAGACATAATTTAGCAACTAAATAACAACAACAACAACAGATGGTAGAGTTGGAAATGGAAGAAAAATGAGTTTTTAAAAAAGTTGCTTTAAGTCCCAAACTTGCAAGTTTTTGCTTCCATCATACGTAGAATGAAATTAATCCACCACCATGGCCAATGATCTGGCTCCTCTTGGTCTCTCCCACTCCAGCTCCATTTGCTTCCACCTTACTCCCTCAGCTCCAGCTACACTGGTTTGCCTGCTGTGTATGGAGCACACCATAACCCACTGTGACATCATCCTTGACGATCCCTCTGCCTGGCCCGTTTACCCCAGAGCCTCTGCGCACATCTCACTTCTGCACATTGTTCAGGTGTCTACCTAAAGGCCACTTCCTCAGAAAGGAAGCCAGCCATAGCCTCTCTGTTGTTCTCCATCCTCTTCCCTGCTCTGTTGTTATTATTCTCTGAACTGACAGTGCATAGAGGTTTACCACTTTCTTCTCTGTGTCCACCACTAGAGTATAAGCTCTGTGAGGGTGAAGACTTTAAAGTGGTAACTGATGCATCCTCCTCACACTTAGATTCCTGCCTGACATGGGTGGCTTATATGAATGAATGAATAAATGAATGAACAGACGCATGCACATCCATTAAGAGTGGAAGTTCTAGAACCAGATTATCTGGGTTAAAATTTCACCTCTTCTCACTACATGTCCTTCAGCAAGTTATTTAAATTCTCTGTATACAGTTTCCTTATTTAAAATACAAACATAATAATAGCACCTACCCATAGGTTTATCCGGGTAAATGAGTTAACACAGCTGAAGTATTAACATTCAGAAATGTTAACAGCAATAGTTAGCACTCTACAAATAATAGGATGATCATGAAAGATAGCAAGCAGGAAAAAGAGAAGCAAGAGTGGTGGCCCTTCTTGGGTAGCAGGAATTTTCTATTGAACTAAGAAGGCAGGTACGGTGCTCCAATGAGTCTTACCTTTTCTGTAATGCTGTGCTGCCAAGGACACAGCATCAAGTACAAGGAAAACTTCCTGTCAAGGGGGGAAGTTTGTCTAAGGGTGTTTTTATTTTTATATTTTTACATTTAAGAGAAATTTCACAGCTGCAATACCTTTCATTTCTTGAAGTGGCACATTTGCATACAGTATATATTTAAAGTTTAATATCTGCTTGTGGAACATGCTTTTTAAAGCTTCTGGGTTTGGAATGGGTAAGAACGTAATACCATTCACACTTTCAAGGTGTTACAAGGCAAAAAGGAAAATCGTGACACGGCTGGGTAGTCACAACTGCAAGTTCATACTTTCCAAAGGCTATTTTACACTCCAGAAACAGAGAAAGAGGAAATTCCTTCAAGGATATGTACATGTCATTACATAAGCTTATTATTGATTTTGAGAGTGATCAAAATTATGATCAGTAATTGCCATAATTATCTGAAAATTTAAGCTCTTGGTAACTTAAGAATAAGGTGAGCTTCCCTGGTGGCTCAGTGGTAAAGAATCCACCTGCCAGTGCAGGAGATGCGGGTTTGTTCCCTGGATTGGGAAGATCCCTTGGAGAAGGAAATAGCACCCCACTCCCATATTCTGCCCTGGGAAATCCCATGGACAGAGGAGCCTGGCAAGCTATAGTCCATGGGGTTGCAAAAGAACTGGATATGACCAAACAACTGAACAACAACCAAGGATAAAGTATTTTTTTCAGAAATTGACCAGTGCAAAATACCTGTTTGTTAACGCAAAGCCAATTTAATAAAATGCAAACTGAGTGGAAAAATACAATCCTTCTAAGAATTAAATTTATGCTCTATAGTCAGAGCAACAGATGCTGATAATAAGCAAAGAGCTGTCAGGAAAAATGAGGGCAAAGAGGTTTTTGATATATGGTTTGAAAAGTCCCCCAAAATCCCCTTTGTCCAGGCTAAATGGCAGCTGCATGGGCACTGTGGTTTGTTACTTGCGGCCTGAGCCCACTGTTTCCTGTACTTGACATTGAAAATAAAAATTATTGCAAAATGTGATGAAAACCTTTATCTGAAATGTAGTTATCTTAGTAGTCAAACAGCATGAATAAGAACACTTCCAGGACACTTCTTAAAATTAAAACTATTTTTAAGCAGCAGAAGAGCAGTAGAAACCATGCAAATTACATGGAGGTTAGTTAGACACCTCCTCACATGTCCTCTACAGGAAGCCTCAAGTGAGAAAATTCTTTTAAAGCATTGTGATCTGTGAAGCTTTGTACAGCTTGGGGAGTGAGTGTAATTTTTCTCTCTAAGTGTAATGACTTAGTATATTGCTGATTATTATTTCCCTTCCCCCATCTTTGGCTACCAACAAGCTTACTTGTGGCTTAACTTTAGCAAGTATATAGGACCTTATGATCTTTTATTTATGATTTTTTTTTTTACTTCTCTGGTTTTTGTCTTCTTGGTTTTATAAATTTTTTAAACTGAATTTTAAAATTCTTAAAAGTATTTCACTATTATTTTATCATATGTAGTGGTATAAGCTGCTTCATTAAATTGTGAGATAAGATGGTTTTAATGAGATTAAGTTAGGTAGTTTTCATAAATATAATTTCACTTGATTGTTTTAACAACCTGGAGAAGTAGACATCATTATCATTTGCGTTATATAGATAGGAAAATTAAGATTCAAAGATGTAAAAAGCTTGCTGAAGATCCAAATACCATGTAGTTTTCACTGTTGTTATTTAGTCGCCAAGTCATGTTTGACTCTTGCAACCCCATGTAGCCTGCCAGGCTCCACTGTCCATGCAATTTTCTAGGCAAGAATACTGGAGTGGATTGCCATTTCCTTCTCCAGGGGATCTTCCTGACCCAGGGATCGAACCCACATCTTCTGCATTGGCAGTTGGATTCTTCGTTGCTCAGCCACTGGGGTACAATTTTCACTGTACTATGTGGTATATCTCATTTCTCTAAGAACAACAAAAAAGTACTTTCAACTGATTAAAAGTATTTTCAGGTAAGAATTATTACTAAATTGACAATGGTGTGAATGAGTGAAAATAAAATTCATTTAAATTATAAAAGAAATAATTTAAGCTAGCAGATAATCTTACCAATAATTACATGTAACTGTAAAGTATTAGGCACTTAGAGGAAGATGAAGAATTTTGATGAATTTTCTTATTCTATCACTTTTCTTTTAAAGAAAAAGATATGGGAGCAGGACAAAACTTAGATTAAAGCTTTGCTTAAAAGTAGGAGAAGGGATTAGTTGACCTGCATGATATAAAATGCTTTGTGAAAATCTTAACCAACAGCCCTTCCTGACGACTCATTACAGCTCACCAGTGTAAGGAGACGGTTTTGATCACCTTTCGAAGGTCAATACTCTGGCCCTAATCCCAGTGTGCTGACACCCCTGCTGGGCTCAGTCCTGCAGTTAGGTGTCTTTCCTGGGCAGTAAAATCAGTGAAAACAGCACCAGCCTGACCTTGGAACACATGTGGCAAAAGAAATTCAAAGTGCATATGAGCCAGATCATTGCCAACTTAATTTTCCAGCCCTTATTGTAGAGCATAGCATCCTTCCTTCTTTGTGTGAACCAGGAAAGCGGCAGCATCTTGCCTGGCAGCACTAACCAGCTGTGCCTCATTGATGTGATGGTAGGAAGAAACCACGAGATAAAAGAGATGGATTCTCTTCAAATTCAGATAGGATCAGGACATGATTCATTAACCAGCATCACTTATTTATGATGTTATTCTACCTGTGACTTCATGTCTGTCTACCTGCAATTTCAGCAAAAGGTGCAACATGGCTACACAGTTGTTAATGTTGGGTACCGAGTGAAAAACAACTAAAGCGAAATTGCTAATGACAGATTTCGCTCTGATGTTAGATTCAACTCCAAAGTTTGGAGACTATACTTCTCTTACTGGAGGTGACAGCATGTTGTCTTGAACTGTTTTCCCTTAGGATTTTCAGGCTGTGCTTTTGCAGATTTTTAACATTTCTGTATTTCTGTATACCTCAACCTGATAAATGAGAAGTCACGCAGGAGAAGCAGGCCCATCTGTTTTGTGCCCCACATGTGTGGAACCTGCATCAAATCAGTTCCACTGAAATGACCACAGCAAGCAAGTTGCTGGGCAGGGATTTGAACTCCAGGCTGCCTGATTCCAAGAGCTGTGCTTTTGCTCCTACACTGCAGTTTCCAGGCTTTCTGAGGCCGCAAAGAGGGCACAAGTGTCTGCTGGTCCAAAGAACTCTAAAGGTTATACACAGATTATAGACACCCTGAATTCCCATGTATTTTATAGTCATCTTGATTTGTTTTATCTGAGGAAATAGCCCCCTTTAGAATAGGGCTTCCTGGCTATGAAACAGAACAGCTCAGGTTGTTCTCTATGCCTCCGGTTCTCTGACTTGCCTGGTGTGAGGAGGGTTCCTCCTTCCGGTCTTCATCCAGGTCCACACCAACCCTGTTAAAGAGAACAGAGAACTGGTAACGGTCTTGTGCAGATGAGACGAGACAGTCTCTTGGGTCAGACCACCTGAACCAAAGAGAATATGAATCAGAGGACCGGTTTGGCAGAAAACCCTGGTACCTCTCCCTGAATCCAGAGAACATCAAATAGATTTATGGGAAAAGGAGAACTCACACAGCTGGGCCTCTGTACAGCTGGTGAAACAGAGCACTGACAGCTGTTCCCCACTGCTGTCTTTCCCAGCAAGAGGACCTGGGAGCGAAGCCCTCAGGGAAAGACCTCCCCGGCCCCCAAACAGGGCTCCTGGAGGGAGGGCCACCTGCTTCTCTGGCAGGACTCACTGACCACACTGCTCCGGGGATGTGGGGGCCTGGGCTGTAGCAGGCTTCCCAGGACAGAAACAAAAAAAAAAAGGTTTTTTTAGTTGCTTTACAATATTGTATTTAGCGAAAAATCTGATATTTCGTCCAGATGCTCATGGAGGCTGGCAGTAGGGAGGATTCAGGTTTGTGGGACTTATACTATTTAGGGGGCTTTCTTTAAGCAAATTAATGCAAAAATACAAATATGAAATGAGGTATGAAAGTGACTCTTTACAACAAGAAAATAAATTGTAACACAATTCATAATTTTAAAATTTGTGCAACAGACATCTCAAAATCTATAAGATGTATAATGTTCTAATTAATTTACTGTCTGATACACCTCTAAAATAACTTTTCCTCTTGAGTTTTGCCTGCATACTTTCTTACTCTGTTTACATGATATAATGACTTTGTATAAGAGAGAATGGGGAGATAAGGTAGTCTTTCCTCTAGCAAGACTGATGGAAATTATTAATAATTGGGAGTCATTATAGCATGTTTCCTTATACAGACACACTTGCTGTGTGCAATACAGTTAAAGAATAGTACTCTGAAAAGACAAGATTTCTGATAAATTTCCCTTCATGCGATTCACACCAGCACTACTACCCAGTACATTTATCAGTGTAAGTGCTGCATCACTGAATATAAGTATTCTTGAATTTCTATTTTAACGGCGCATTGATGAGAACGGAATCCTCCACTTCGAATTTTACACATCTCACAACTGGAAGAATTTTCCACAGACTAGCTTCTGGCTCAGGGCATTTCAAGCCTTGTTTCTCCTCCACTAACCATAGACTTGTGAAGCCAGGTACCATAGAACACGTTCAATTTGGATTCAGCCTCGTGGCACTGTTCCTGTGAGCGGTCCCTGCAGAAGGACGAGCAGTGACTTGCCCTTCACAGAGTGAAGGGCAGACCACAAAACCCCACTGAATATAAGCTAAGTGCACTCCCAATTCAGTTTCCCCTTGGTCAGACCCCCCAGATGCCCAGGGCCACACCAGAGCCATCTGACCAGGGTGACGTAAGACCAAGAGGAAATGGTAGTAGAAAGAAACAGCGATCCAACTCAGCAGTGGTTAAAATCTATTCCTTTTGCAATTTTTACAAAAACATAGGACCCTGGGAACACAATGCTGGGGCTCTTCCCAGGGCCTTGGAAGGGCCGGAGCATGTGAGGGCCTGGAGCTTGAACTTCCTCTGCTCCGGGCAGTGGGCCTCTGCCTGTGGCAGGCAGGATGGGGTGGGGGGTGGTGGCTCAGGGCCTCAGCCACCTGCTCAAGCTCTGCCAGAGCCTTTCCCGAGAACACCACAACCTCTAGAGCTTTGGAGTCTTTCCTTGCCCTCCTGCCCCGGGAAACTCTTCTTTAGGGCCCTAGTTCTGTTCTCTGGGTAGGGGAGGGGAGGCAGGTGGAAGCCACCAGTCCTGCAGATGTGCTAGCCTGTGAAAGGAAAGCCGCAGTGCAGAGGCAGCCGGTTTAAAATACCTCTGATTCTTCAAGGACCTCTGGGCCTGAAGGGCCCCTTCTCACTAACCCAGGGGGTGAAGTGGGTAGCTATTTACTGTGTGTGGAATCTTTTGGCCTTCAGGTAACTGGAAAGAGACTCTGGTGGAGATTAACCTTTGATTTTCTTAGAGTAGAAAGAGCCATTTGACCTGTATTATTGAAGTTGGGGGGAGAGAAGGATGAGAGGAAAGAGGGAAAGGGGGTCAGGAAGGAGAAAGGAGGGGCCTAGAGGGATGGAAGAAGGG